GAAGGAAGGAAGGAAGGAAGGAAGGAAGGCAGGCAGGCAGGCAGGCAGGCAGGCAAGCAGGAGGGCAGGTGGGCAGGAGGGCAGGCGGGCAATGTCTGAAGCAGTGCGTAGACGGAGAGGAAGGTCTAGCAAACGGGGGTGGCATAAACTGCATTCAGCTCTTTCCTTCCCTCTTTCTTAAACTGTGATTTGAGTGTCCTGGGCTTTCTGTCCTGCTTCTGGGCCCTGCATCACGGAGCGAACCCCGAAAGAGGAATAGCCTGATGGGGGTGGATGGATGGATGGATGGATGGATGGATGGAAGCATGGAGAAAACCCAGGAGGGCTGGAGGCGGCTGAGAGCCGGCCAGACTCCCCCCTCCCAGCGAGGATCCAGAATAACCCTACATACCTGCCCGCCATTCACCGCTGCATGATAAGCCGAGCAGGTGAAGATCACCATGGTCAGGAACTTGATGAGTTCTGGGGCTGAACGGATGGAGGATGGGACTCCTGCAAGGAAAGGGGAGAAGAGGTTAACCTAGGAGTTCTGCAGGAGTGTCTTGTGGGGAGGGTGTCAAAAAAGTCAAGATGGCTGCGACACCCATGCAGTCGCAGCCCCGGGTGGACGTGTCTGAGATAAGGCTGGGGAACTTCTGCAGCGCATCAGCCTATCCGCCCTTTCCAGCGGCGTCTCCTTCCAGACGCCATCTCCATTTCCCCTGCCGTGGAGCTGTGACCATCCGGGACACTGCTGTGACAGCCCTGTGAGGTCGGCCAGCCCAGGGAACAAGCGCCCCAAGTCACTCTGCTTTGTTGTGATCGGCGGTGACAAGAGAGACTTAACGGAGGCTCAGAGAGATTTCGTCCACATTAGCGCTGTTCTTACTGGGTCTTTCCACGCGCTTGCTTCCCCTGCGCTTATCGCGGCCAGCCACGAGCCGTTCGGCGCGCAGAAGGATCCAGCGCCTTGTCGGAACGGGATGGCGACGAGGGAGAAGCAAACGCGCGAAATGCGGAGGATGCTGGTGTGTCGCGATGCGTGAAACGTCTCTGCGGACCAGGGAATGTGGCGTTTCGGGGGCCGAGAAAACGGCCGAAGGGCTTGGATGGGATTTCGAGAGGGAGCGAAGGGATTTCTCGCAGGGAAGCGGCAGCCGCAGGGACAGACCCCGCGGAGGAGCGTTCCTCGCCGCGTCCGGAGGCGCCGTACCTGACGCCGCCTTGCTCAGGAAGCCTTTGGCGAAGACCTCGCCCACCCAGGCCTGGAGCTCGCCGTCTCCCTGGACAGACGCCTCGCTCTTGTAGTAGAGGCCAACGATGCCGGAGACGAAGCTGCAGGGGGAGAGGGAAGGAGGTCTGTGCCAGCAGCGAGGGGCGAGGGGCGAGCCGCCGGCTCCTGTGCCGCGCCCGCCGCGGGCAAAGTTTGCGGCTTGGCACAGAGGTGGTGCGAGTTGGCGAGGCGCGGCTGTAGACGCCGCTGCGGCCGAGAACGTCGGGGTCGAAGTCCAGGGCTTTCTTGCCGACCCCCGCGCGGTCCCCCTGAATTGGGAGGACCGCGGCCAATCTGGAGCCCTTCCCGTGCCCCTGGCTCAGGCTGGCACAGAGGACGGGCCCGGAAGCAGCCTCGGACGAGGCCGGCTTGGAGGGGGGTGGAACGCCCC